GAAAGATATTAAATTTTTGAATTCATAACTCGTTGACATCACCAAAGATTGATTTATATATGACACAGTTATTAAATCGAGCTTGAATCAACAATCGATTATTTTAAATAAGAGAGAATGACAATTCCCAAATTGGCCAAACTATTCGAAAGTTAATCATAAAATTATTTTATTTTTTAAATTTTAATATTTTGGAAATAAATAAAAAGAAAATTTCTTTAATTGCAATCAAACTTCGATTTAGAGCCAACATTTGTCTGCCTCTGAAATTGGAACTAAATCGATTTACCTCAACAATAAGAACTATACAATACGTAAGATTGAAATCTATACACAAGTTTCAGTTTGAGAGTGTAAAAGTTACGTGATTTGGTGATAGCAATATGTTACAATAAAAAATTGTAAATTTAATGATTCTTGGATTGGACTGATTGCGATAAGGCAACGTAACAATTGGGCGATCTCCCAAAGGGAATACCTTTAGGGGACTTTCTATGAGTAATTGGCCGCTATTTAGGTGTTAGACACATCCAGTCAGTCACTGTGGCAGATTTAATAATTAACAAATACTGAAAGTTTCTCGAATATTTATGGGAAAGATCCGTTGAACATTTACAGGTAACACTATTTAGATGGTCGTTCCATCGAAATTGGATTTTATATTTCCAAATTTTAATGCTTTTATTAATGCTTTGGATATAATTTGAGGATGTAAATACCGTAGTAAATTTGATTAAAACAAGTGAAAAAATTAATTCGTCGAGATTATTTTCCTATCAAGAATCTTACGCAAGCTTTATCTAGTTTTAATAATTTTCTAAATTAATAAATAATTTATAAAAACCCATAAAAACATTTTTCATATGATAATTCAATTGTGAATTGCAAAAGAGTTGTTTCACAGTATTGTTATCTACAATCGACTTCAATTTTGTTTGATATATACCAGCCTCTAGTCTCAAAGAGAACATTTTCAGTGTAGAAAAATACAAAAAAAAAACAATAGACATTTCGGTTACAACAAATACAAAGAAGCAAATTCTAACGCAATTTATAACCTTTCTAAAAATAGAATTTCTTTCGGTTAGAAATTCAGTTTTTTTCTGTTTTTTTAAATTCATTCGCAAAGAATCGTAAAAATATTTCATGTTAATGTACTTTACGTGTATTGTTCATCATTACATATAAATTACGTCTTAAATATTTAACAGTAACGTAACATTATTTCACATCCTTCTACGAGATTGTTAATAGATTATAATGTAACTTAGAGGAAATTATTATAGTTTCTAACACAAAACTATAGTTTTATCATATAAACTAACTCTAACACGAACCACAAATGATAGAATTAACTATAATAATTACTTGTCACGTTAATTATAAACAACAAGTAATATTATCAGGAGGTCTTCTCTCTCTTCACCGCACACCTCTCATATCTCAAGTGTGATTCACTGTATAATTTTCAGATAATGGCTGTACAGTAGACATATATTATAACTATTAATCTCCTTTCTGTATACGACCGATTTATCATAAAGTAAGTTGGAAGGAAGAAAAGGCATCATTTATTGGCAATTCTCCCACGCTACCAATTACTTTCAAACGTTATTCGCCTTTCAACCAATTTCTCTATCAATTCTATCAGACACGAGCTATTCCCAAAATACCCAAACTCATTTATATGTTCTGTCTCATATCCATTCAAACTATCACAGATTATTTTCTTCTTTTTCCTCCCCTCTTCTAGATGATAATGGAGATATAACAATAAATTGTTTTTTCCGGTTAAACACTATAATCAGTATTCTGCAATTAGTTTTATTTAAATGTTTTTTAAACTATTAAAATGATTAATTTTTTATTATTGTATAATATTCAAATATAATTTATACAAATGAATAGCAGTCAGGAGTATAAAAATTTTGATTAAAATTGTTGTTTTGCTATTGTTTAAACTTTCTTAAATTGTAGTTTTAAATTCAAAGCTTAGAGAATTGATTTATCATACAGGAAACGTTGGAGACAACAGGAATGAATTTAGACTTTCTTGATATTAGTTACAAGAATAATATGTGCCTATTGTATATAATTCTAACATTTCTTTTATAGCATTGTATAACTTTAAAAACGTAATTTATATAACTTATCCACTTTAGTACATAAGTTATATAAATTGTTTAAACACGTCGTTTCGATATTTAAACAATATCATAACGTTAAACAAGTTATAATGTTGTTTAAACACGTTCTATGTGAAATTAGCCCCATTGGTGGTCGAGTGGATCTGAACACTGGTCGCGGGGAACCTCACCAACGGGTTGGTAGCGGGTTTTCTTCACGTGCCTAACACCTAAACAGAAGCCAGTAAAATAGAAAATCCACCCTGGAGACGTCCCCGCTTAGCAGACCTTCGTTGTGTTATTTCATCAATTCAATCCATAATAAATTATTCAAATGTTAATGATAATTGATTACATGCCAAAAACGTTGACATTATTTTTTATAGTACACAGCAATTTGAAAAGTGACTTAATTTATAAATTTGTAAATCATATAAACAATACAAATTTTCTACGAAATGGATCGAGAATTTAACACAAATATTTCATTTATCACAATAGAAAATCTCCAATAAATCATTTAAAGATGTCGTTTCATAATTCGTAAATGTTGTATTCAAAGATTTTTTGAAGATTTTCTACTCCATGTTTTACTCAATAAAATTTATCTGAAGTGAAATTTATCTTAATATGTATAATAAATCTTTCTGTTGACATCGTATTTTTATTTATTTCTCTCTTTCTATGTATATATACAAAGAAAAATTGTTCCTTACTTAAAGTTTACTCTTTAATTCTACAGAAGTGATTCTTAACCTTTTCTGCTGTCCGCACCCCTCTTGAATTTTTAAACTATCTCTAGCACCCCATAAATTTTCTTTTCTTTTTTTTAATTTAAGAGAGTGGGGTTCTATTTTTTCACGTGTATTCTATCTTTATGCACTGCTTAAGTGATTGAGAAAAATCCACCAAAACTCTACTTAAACTTCTACCGAAGTGAGACTCAAATAGATATAAATAGGAGTGTTTTAGGGATGTTTTCAGGATGTTTTTGAAGAAGTGTTCATTATAAACTCTAAACTTTGCTCGTGTTACTAATTAAATGTATACAAAATGTAATCTGTAATACAAAAGTTGCATTCGTTTTGCCGGTTTACTGTACACTATTATGTCAATCTAATGTAATTTAACACTTCCCCGTAACAAAAATATAAGAATGACGTGAAACTGACGTAAAAATGTGAGCTATTTTGGCAAAAGAATGCATCTAACATAGCTGGAGTGGTGCATTCCACGTTAAGAATTACTATTCTAGAATAAAATTTTCTTTTAAACGAGTTATAATAATTTATTTAAACCTGTTACGCTCCGATGAATTTGAACAGTTGTAACACTTACGTATCATTAATAATTCCTTAACTATTCCTAAATTGTTCAACTTACTAATTAATGACTTGTAGTTTTAATGTTTAAAACTTTTCTTATAAGTTTTGTTGGAATGTAATGATCAAATTTTTTAAATTAAAATAATGTTTTTAAAAAAAATATATTTAAGGTATATTTAATGCTTTAACTGATGAGAACAAGGTATTTTCTATTTTCAATGGCCAACTTTTAGAACACACTTTGAAGCGAGTTACAAGAGACATCAATTTAAATTTTGTCTTTTGGGAATAATGAACAGTGGACATCAAGAAGATGGATGTATTCTTACAAAACTGTTAAATGCACTTTAAGGTTATAAAACTCATCATTATTTTAGTCATAGTTTGCTGATTTTAATACTTTATTCGCGTATAATGCGCACATTTTTACATAAAAATCGGCTCTCTCGATTGGTTAAAAGTATTTTAAATTAATTTTAATATTTTTTTAATATAAATTAAAAATAAAATAAATTAAATTTTATTATTCGAATTAAGAAACACGAGATATTTCGTTTCGTTTTTTTTTAGAATATTAAAAATAATCACAGAATTCTTATCAAAGAAAACACACGCGCACACAACACTTTTTCTATTTTAAAATGGAAATTTATCTGATACAAGCTTCTTTTTTACGAAATATAATAGATTAAAATGTGTCTTTTATTAGAAAAAGTTTAGTAGAAACGTCATATTAGTTTTCTCTCCTCCTCCTCTGTGTTACGCATTATGCAAATGAACTATATCAGGATGCTTCGTGGAACGTGTCACGTGGAAAGATCGACAAAAATCTTAACCACTTTCATTTCCAGTTTTGGATCGTTTAAAAAAATCAATAGGAGCTATAAATGTAAAAATAACAAATTTTAGAATGAATTTCATTCGTTCACTTCATAAATTTTAAATTCTTACTCTCATCGTGGAAATTATTAAATTGCTAATTAACAAAGAAATTTATACTTAAAATAAATGTTAAATTGTGTTTAATACATTAAAAATACACGTTTCGATCGAAATCTCGTCATCGATTTTCTCACGAAAACAATATTTATCTCATATACTACGTGTTATGAAGTAAAATAAACGTTCAGACAAACAGGACTGCTGCTTGAATTTGAGTTTTTTTTAATGTAAATTTTAACAATTTTAATTAAAAATATACAGAAATTAAATATTTTTTAATGCTTTTATATTAAAATTTTATATTGAAAATCGCTCTTCTGTTGAAATTAACGTGGCTTCTACCTGAACTTTGATCCTAATCTCGTAAATTTTTAAAATTCATTTTAACACTTAATTACTTTGTCTGTATATTAATTTTATAGTTTAACTATAATAAATAGAAAATAAAATTAATTAATTAAATTACTGTTTTATAATAATATAAAGAAAAAATTAATTAGGATTCATCATCAATCCCACCTAAGAAACCTGATAAACATAATCAAATGTAGAATTTAATCATGATTTGTGTGTGTGTAAATGCACTTTAGTATATAATGGGGGTATGTAATCCCATCTCTATCATTTATAATGACCAATCTCTCGAAAAAAACATGACCAATTAAAGTACATTTAAGTGATTTCCATTACGGATACTACGTAAAAAACATTATTGTTACGTAAAAGTATTGTTAACAATTAATTAATTAAAAGGAATATTTGTTGCCGCCTGTCTTATACTAATGAGTGGATACGGGTTACGATCTTTCGTTGTCCGCAGTAAGTACATTACCATAATAATTCTGGATAGAGAAAGGTTCTGACTTATAAATTCTTACCATTAACTCAACCCGCCTGTGCGACAATCTTTCAGAGAGGCAGATTAGGATTCTTGTGTTGCCTCAAGCTCAAAGTAGAAAACTACTTTGAAGGAACATTTTGTACCGAAGAAAATGATTGGTGGTTGTCTTGCTTAATAACATAGGACTTCAGCAAGCGAGATTGTAATCTGATGAATGAATTTATGCAAGATTACTTCCCCGATAGTGAGTGATTAGATTTGTGATTTTTAAAGTTACTTCAAGCAGTTTAGTTAATTAAATTAAATTACTTTTCTAGAACGTTCCGTCATGAATACAATATACGACCGAATCTGTTGTAAAACAAAACAGGAATGCACTTTGCGGATATCTTGGCGATCTTCCTTTTAGTCCGCAGAAATTTAGTCCGATACATCGTGTCAAAATACTGGACTTCTATGTCCGATATCTGGACTTCTATGTCCGATAATTGGCAGCATACCCTTTAATGGGTATGCATTCTTGGGCTCAATAACCGCGATTTTCTTCCTATTAATTGGAAAATTCATTCATCGATGGTAGTGTTGGAAGAAGTCCCAGAAAAGAAAGAAAAAACTATATGCGTATTGATCCGAAGTTACAATATTTCAAAATTCCAAAATTTTCTTTTGATTTCTAAGAAAATAATTCATTACACTGGAAATAATGAAGAAAAGTGTGAAAAATTTCTAACGGAAGCCATTTTATTGAAGCTATTTTGATCTTTCTTCACAAATTAACAGAACAGAATAATTAAAGATTGTCTTAAATTTAATAAAATTTATTAAGACATGCAATTACAGTATTTAATATTGAAAGTATTTTTGTACAACGTTTACCATTTGAAATGAAATCATTTTAAGGACCTAAATATTAATAAAGTGTAATTACAAATTATTGTAATCAACTTTTATCTGTTCATGTAATTGCAATTAATTTTTATACTTATAGTTTTACGTAGGTATGAATTTATTAATTATTTATTAATTTATTAACTAAATTTAAGCTCTCTAGCAAGGACAGTTGCTGTCCAAAATCATGGACCATCGAGAGCATATACGAAGCTCTGAGGTAGAGTGGGCAGATCCATTTTGCCTTTTGCTTTTTGAACAAATGAAATGCGTAGAATGTTTCTTTATTAAAAAAGAAGTCTTAAAGATTGTATTTTCTCTTAGTAAAAATAACGTTAATTTTACAAGGCTGAGAATCACTATCGCTTCCTAAGTTTTCTCCGAGCCGGAGGAAAACTATCTATTTTCATCCCTCTCGACGATCCCGATGCTCTCTCGTAAAAGATGCTACTATAAGAAATCTTGGTTATTTCCAACTCGAATAGTTCGAAATCCCGTAGCTGTACTTTTGTCCTGGCCGGGGATATAGTGATTTACACGTTAAGGAATTTGGCTAGTTCGAAATACGGCTACTTTGAAATTCGAAGTGAAAATTTTGTCTGAACTTTGTTATTGTTATGATAACTTCTTCGTTTAGATCGAAGTGTCTCCATGCTATAAGAGAACAATATACCGAGAACTACTAATCTGGTCAATATGGCTTTGCTTTTACACTAACACATTTTCGGGTGTAACCTTACCCTTGGACTACCCTTTTTTTCTCTTATCTCATCAAATACTGCTGGTTTTCGAGATTGCGAGATTGGGTTACAGTAGCGTATTGAGATATTTGTAGGCTCTAGGCCAGTGGTTTCCAAAGTGGGGTACGCAAAGTAATACTTGGGGGTTCGCCAAGTTTTCCTTCAAAATACTGTACGTATGTCCTGTCCGCAGTCTGTCTAATCTTATAGTCATCCTCTCGAAGAAGTAGGCACACGATCACTCGCGATCATTTAATATAATATAATAATAATAATATAGGAGGTACTGTACAACTTATAACTATTTTCGTCTTAGGGATACGCGATCAAAAAAGTTTGGAGATCAGGCTACTACATTTGGGTAACTTATTACTTTTTGGGCCATTTTAAAAATAATTTGGGCTACATTGCGAGGGATTCTACTTTACACTTTAGGAAACCTATCTGGCAACATGTGAGTTCTCGCTGGACACGTGCTGTTTATCCGCAGTTTATTTATATTATTATTAATTATTAATTAACGAAAATAGCATTCTGAGCTCATCGCTGTATTCCCTTTGCTTAATAAATTACATCAGTTAGGCCTACGTGGCATTTGGAATATTGTACACAAATACTGTACAGTACTTAAATCTCAGATAATTTGAAATTTTATAAATCGAAGTCGCGATTATTTTGTCCCTTGAATACAAAAGTGGTCTGTCTGACCCAGACTTTCCAGATTTAATTCATAATTCCAGTTCTCCTAGGGCGGTAGACTGAAGCCTTAAATGCCTCCAGCAGGCTCTTTAGATAAGGGTTAAAAGTGTACTTTTCTTCAACATAAGCTATTTTAATCATTTGAATGTTCTTTTTATCTTTTTAGAAGGCATGTACATGGCCCAGTATAATTAATAATAATAATACGTACACGAACAGTTAATGTTAATTCACACACAAAATAGTTACTCTGATGTTTATTAAAGAATTATATTAAATTATTTTGCAAAATCCTTTAGATTTGTTTGTTTACTATTCATAATGCGAATGAAAATAAACTTCGCTGTTGCATTTATTAATTTAATGAATCTAATATACGCTTTGTTCATCTGTTGCTAATATTATAAGATAAAAGGACAAACAGAAAATCGTACAAAACCAAAATATTGTTTTTAAAAACGTTATAAAAATGCATGCATGCAGCTTTACATAAATAGCATTTGATCAATCTCCGAATAAACTTTTTAGAAAATAAATTTCAAGATTTAAAATTTAATTTAAACTTATAAATCATATTCTGTTTTACAATATAATATATATATTTTTTTTATGTATTAAAAAGTTTTATCCAGTAGAATGCTGACATTTATAATATTGATTAAGTCTATGAATATATTAATTCGCTTAATATATCGAAACAAATTCTAGTCATATAGTTCTAAGATTTAATCTTGAAAATAGATAGATCCATTATATTTCAACTATCCAATAAAAATTTTCGACACAATTTATTCAAATTTAGTAACTGTGCAATAAATCATTATATATATATTTTTTTAATTTAAAAAAAGATCAAGAACTTTTAGTAATTTTCTTAAGACTCTTTTTGACTTTATCCAAGAGTTCTTTATTTAAAAAAAAAAGAACTTACAAATTAGGAAATGAGAAATATTGTTCAAGATAAAGATCGGGAAGACCTTGAGAAGCAAAAGTCATTTGGTTGACTTGATGAGAAAGTTTCAATTCTTTTCAATTTATTTCAAAATTTAAATATGTTAAGTTTACTTTATTCTAGTTTCTGAAAGTAACAATACTTTATCCTTGAACGAATAACAAATGAGTCGTCATCAATTCGAATTTATTTTATACTGAGTCACTATTTTACAATAAATATTGACAAATGACACATTTCAAGTAAGAAATCTTTTTTAGAAAGTGTTTTTAGTTATAGAATATTATAATATTCTTTATACTTTCTAAAGACTTTCTATACATTTCATAGAAGACTTTTGTAAAAGATATAGAAGCAGACATTTCATACGTTTCATGAAAGATTAGTAGAAGATATAGTTGACATTTTGCAGAAAACTTTCATAGAGGATATGGAAACTGACTTTCTATATAATTCATGGAAGACTTTTATAGAAGATACAGAAGCAGACTCTTATAGATGATATGGAAACTGACTTTTTATACATTTCATGGAAGAATTTGATAGAAAAAAGAGATGCAGACTTTCTACATATTTCGTGGAAAACTTATAAAAGACATTGAAACAAACTGTATAAATTCCATAAAAGAACAGAAGACCTTCTATACATTTCATAGAAAATGTTATTTGCTTATATAACAATATAATATTCTTTGTATTCTAACTTTTATTTTTTAAAGAATAACTTAAATTGTAACGTCTCATAAATTCCAATTTGAAAATTCAATAAAATGACATTTTACCAGCTCAGAAAATTTCTTTTTGAACGATTTATTTATTGCTTTCAAGACAATTTCGAAACAGAAAGAATATGTAAGAATCACTACGCAAAATTTTCATATTTTTCAATTAAAATATTAAAATTTATTATTTTAAATTGATGTTCTTGTACCACAAATTGGTTAATTGAGCCATAACTCAGTGTGATTCATCAATTAAAATTAAGCAATATCAAATATTGCCGCGTGTTTTTCAGTATCTTAAACTTTAACACGAGGTATTAACAACCCTTTTCGAATCAATCACATATAATGATACGAAGGAGATGAATATGTAATTCCATATCAGACAATTATTAATGCTTACATTCTTATGGATTTATGTAAATATATTCAAAATTCTCAATTTTCATTTAAGAAATTATTTCTAAATATAAATCAAGAAGTCATATTATTTAATGCTAATGATTAATGATTAACGAGATTTTTTCGTTAATGATAATAAGGTGCATGGAATTACGAGCATGAGCAAGGAATTATAATGCATGGAATTATAAGCATGTTTAATATTTACATAATTATTCGAATTATATAAATGTTAAACACGTCAATGTGGATTTTGAAAGGAACTACTGTGATTTTCTATAGAGCAGGGATTTTTGTAGAAAGTCACAACACGGTTGGGTTGTCCAAAAATTAGTTAACAAAGGCATGTTACTTGTTATCATGTACAACACGCAACTATCGAAACCGATCTGAACCGTTCTTTTAAAAAAATGTGTATGTAATTATTATACATATACATCAGTTAACCGACTTATAGGCCACCCTATATTCCAACATCTACTATACTAATAGATAAATGAAAACTGAAAATCATTTAATTACAGTCATGTAACATAATTAAATAAAACATTTCTATTTCGAGTGAAATTTACACATTTATGTAAGCGGAAATCGAACTAGGACTCTTCCGAAATTCGATCACGTAAGTTACTTTCGATCAGATCAGCTTCAGTAATATCGTCACGATGAGGATTAAACCAATAACCATCCCCTAATGATGGTTAGAAAATACCTAAGGATACATTCTTACTACGTTGTAGAACACTATATACAATAAAATAAAAAATAATTATACTAAACTTACACCCCACTCTACACCTTCAATATATTATGTTATTTTATTTTTAAAATTTTATAAAATGAAATTTTAAAATCAATATTCTTTAATATTTTATAAATTAAGATATATCCGGTTTAAAATTACACACTACAGCAATTTATTATTAGTTAAATATATAATTTATTTGAAAATTTCGAAAATATATTTTTACCAGAAATAATCATAACTCTTGAAACTTTTAATGAATTATGTTTTAAACGATAAGTGACGATTAATTAATTAATCAATCAGTGAT